CGCCGTAGACGACCTTACGGCGGCCTGCCCCGGGCGCGCACGTTTTTGGCGACGACGGCGTCCGCGCGGACGACCTCGGCGGCGGCGGCGTCGTCCTCGCGCCCGCTCGAGAACGTCGTCGGGGTTCGACGCGCGCGGCGTCGAGCCTGGGCGCCAGTGCGACGTGTGACGCGGCGGCGGGCGACGCGCTGCCCCGGGCGCGAGCGCGACGGCGTCCGCGCGGACGACCTCGTCGGCGGCGCCGCGGCCTCCGCACGCGCGAGGACGTCGAGGACGTCGTCGGGGTTCCGCGCGCGCGGTCCGGCGCGAGCGATCGCCGCCGGACCTTCTCTCCGGTCCGAGGGGCCCGTCGGGACTGGGCCTCGCCGCCTACGACGAGACGACGATGACCGCCGGCGCGCGGCGCGCGGACGTCGCCGCGGCGCGCTGGCGCGGCTCGGCAGAGATCCGCTCCCTCGCTCGCGCATTTAAAGAACTAGCCCGTCTACGCGGCGGCCTTCTTGAAGAAGGCCGAGATCGTCTTCTGGCCGGGATCCCGCTTCCGCGCCTTGGGGGGCCGCGGCTTGCAGTCCATGCAGTGCATGGGGTAGTTCGCCTCGAAGCAGCCCAGCGCCGTGTAGGCGCGGAGGTGCGTGGCGGAGGTCAGTGGGGGGCTCGGCGGCCCGCCCTCTCCGCGGAGCGCCGCGAGGGCCCAGTCGCGGTGCTCGGGCGCGAGCTCCGCGACGCCGCGCACGTCCGCGACGTCGAAGTGCTCGAGCCCCGGCTCCGCCCGGAGCGCCCGCATGAACGCACGGGCCTCGTGGAGGCGGAAGAGGATGCCCCAGTCGGGCTCGCCGTTGTGCTTCGGCACGACGACGGCGAGCCTCACCGCGAACTTGTCGATCTTGGCGCCGCTCAGAGCGCAGGTTGCCCTGCCCGTCGGCGCGTAGTCGACAAAGAGGCAGGTCGCGAGGCACTCGAGATGCACGGGGCGCGAGTCCTGCTGGGGCCGCACCCACGCGACGAGGCTGCCGTCGCAGCAGAGGCTACGTAAGCACGCGGCGCACTCGCCGCAGCCGCCGCAGCCGCGGTGCGTGAACGCGTACGGCGTGCCGTCCTCCTTGGGCACGACCTCGCCGCCATGGTCGCCCCAGGCGTAGAGCCCTTCGTTCGCCACGCAGACACGGGCAGAGCGCGCTCCGCGGCATGCACAGCCTGCCGCGATGCATCGTGGCCACAGGCGTGCTGGTCGTGCAGCGCGCAAGCTTCAGGCGCGTTCCGAACGGCGCAGGCATCGTCGGCACAGACACGAGGCTGGAAAAGCAGCAGCAGTAGGACGTTCGACGCGTTTGTCGCGACGAGGCGGTCTCAACGGGCGCTGGCAGCTCGTCGCATCGTTGTGGCGGCCTCGCGCCGATCGTGCCGCAGCACCGTCGGCCGCCGTCCGTCGTGTTCTGTCGCGTTGGCTCGCCACTCGAGCTCGCGGCCGGGGTCTGCGGCTTCACCGAAGCTACGCGTATCCGCGGCCCAGGTCGCCGCGGCGTCGATGCCGCGGTGCTGGAGCCCTAAGGTCGCGGCGGCGGTCGCCCGCGTAGACTCACGCGGCGGCTGAACTCGGCGGGACATGCGGTGCAACTGGTACCAGGTGCTCTAATGCACACCCCTCCCCTTCTTACTTCCACCGCGCCGCGAGGTCCAGGAACTTGCAGAGCTCGGCGAGGTTTGCGTAGAGATCTCCGTAGTCGAAGTCGTGCAGTGTGCGAAACCCGATCTCAATGCCATCGAGATGTAACTCCGGCTCCTCCTCCTCATCATCAATATCATGAACGACTTCGTGGATTTTGACCAGCGCGTACGTCTCCAACATTTCTACGTTGTTGTTGAGCGGCAACTCAAAAAAAGGTGCATCGAATGGATCGTCAGTTTGCCATTGAAGTTCGGAATCGATCACATCAGGGAGCGCCCATCCTTGGTACAAGTAGGAGATCATCCCGTCTTTCAGTCGCACGACGGACAGCGATGCGGTGGCGAATGACCACCGTTCGTCATCTGGCCACGTCACGACGCGGCTTGGTAATCCACCTCTATCGACCGTGATCGTTGTCAACGAGAAACTCGCGGAATCCGGCTGCTCGAATAAACACTCACTCGGCCGAAGGACGCGCAACGTCGTCTCGCCGCCGCTGGCGAGCCGGACACCCAAAACGAAGCGATGCGTGTCGTCGACGCCGAGTTCGGCGGTCGGGGGATCCTCGTGCTGCGGCACGTCGACGAGCGCCGGTCGCACGAAAAGCTCTTCATACACGGGCTCCGTCTCGACCCGCTCCGGTCCGAGCTTCGCGCTCATGGCCTTGATTCCGCGCTCGAGCACGGCGAGCGAGAGCGACCGCCTCAGCACCGCGCGCAGCCGGCGGCGCACGGCCGGCAGCGCGAAGAACTCGTCGTCCGGGAACGACGGGTCGCGCCGCAGAAGGATTTCGCGCCGCTCCGCGACTTGCCGCGCGACTTTGTGGCACGTCATCGCGAACGCCGACCAGTCCGCCAGGAACCCGTGGTCCATGATCGCCGCCGCTGCGGCCGCAGGGATCATGGCGCGAGATCACCGCGAACTTCGCGCCCGGACCGCGGCTGGCTGTCACGGGGACGGCCCGCGCGAGCCCAGCGGGGATTGGCGCGCGTGCCCAAGGCCACTCTCGGAACCGCACTGCTGACCAGACTGTCCGCTTTATGCGAATGAGCGCGCTTGAAGAATTCAAAGCAAGGTTCACGGACCATGTTGAATGGCAGTTATGAAAGCATATCCGCAGGCGCGTCCGCTACTGCTCGCGCGACTGCCAGATCATGCATTGGAAGCGCGCGCACCGCGACGAGTGCCAGCCGAAGGCCTCAGGGTAAATTTGTTTGTTAAAACGACCATCGCCAAACCTCAGCCGAAGCAGAGGAAGAAGAAGAGGAGCGTGCCGACGGAGAGGATGCCCGCGCGCATGCGGCGCATGGCGACGCGCTCGCGGTGCGTCGCGGACTGGACCGCGGGCTCCTCGAGGAACGCGAAGCAGGTCCACTTGAAGCGGCCCGGGCCGCGTCGCCGGTCGGGCACGAGGCCGAATTGGAGCGCGAAGAGCGACGGGAAGTAGCCCCGCTGGCGCAGGCGCGCGGCGCCGAAGACGCCCGCGGGCACGGCCGCCGCGGCGTCGCCCGGCCGGTCCGCGAGGCGCCGGAGCGCGCCCTGGGAGTCGCGCGCCTCCTCGTCCGTCGCGCGCCGCGCGTCGGCGTCGCGGCGCCGCGCGGCGCGGCGCTCGTCGTCGGCGACCTCCGCCGCGGCCCGGTCGCGGAGCGCGCCGACGAGGGCCCGGAGCGCGTCGAGCTGGTCGTCGGACAGGCCCTTGTCGTCGTCGGCGGCGGCGGCGTCCTCCCGCAGCGGGTTCTCGACGTCGCCCGCGTCGGAGTCCGGGTCCTCGAGGAGCTTGCCGAGGTGCTTGCGCCGGCTCCGCCCGGCGCGCCGGTCCGCCTCGCGCTCGATGAGCGCCTCGATGATGTTCAGCGCCTCCGACGACCCGTCGGGCGCGGACACGCGCGCGCCCGCCTCGACGAGCGCGCGGGCCGCGGGGAAGCGCCGCGTCGCGCAGGCCGCGAGCAGGGCCGGCCGCCCGCCGTCGTCGCGCGCGTCCGGGTCCGCGCCCGCGTCCAACAGCCGCGCGACCTCTCCCAGCAGCGCGCGCTCGCGGGACTCCCAGTCCGCGGGCGCGGGCAGCTCGCGCTCGGCACCGACGAGGGCGACGACGCGCGCGCCGAGGCGGCTCCGGTAGGCGGCGATCATGGACGCGAGGTGCCGGTTCGGCACGAGCGTCCGCGACGGCAGCGGCGCGTTCGTCGTCGGCGACCGCCGGTCCGGGCCCATGTCGAGCCACCGCTCGATGGCACTCCGCTCGTAGGTGAAGCCGTCGCTCGCGATGACGGGCTCGACCATGACCTCCTGCGTGATGGGGCACAGCAGCGACGGCGGGGCGCCGCCCTCGTCGTCGTCGCCGCCGTCGTCGACGAGGAGCGGCTCGGAGTCGTCGTTGGTGTCCATGGTCGGTGTTCTTCCGCCCCGACGCGCTCGACGAGCCGGCTGCACTACGTGTCTCGGGGCCTTTCCCGACGACGTCGAGGCCGCGCGGCCGAGCTCTTCCGCCCCGCGGACGACGCGAGGAGCTGGCCTCAGTGAGGTGCACCCACAGCTCCTTGCGGCAAATGTCGCCAAAAGCTGCACAAATGCCGCAGCTCTGGCCATTCGCTCTCAAGCGGGCCGTCTGGGCGCCCTCCTCCCGCCAACCATGACGCGCTGGTCGAACCTGGCCATGTGCATGTTGGTCATCGTGAGCGGGGGCACGGTCTATAGTTTCGGCGCCTACAGCAGCGCCCTCAAGGAGAAGCTGTCCCTGACCCAGGAGCAGCTCGAGATCGCCGCCCTCTGCTCGAATCTGGGCAACTACATCGGCCTCGCGGGGTTCTTCTACGACCGCTTCGGCGCGGCGATCTCCGTGCGCTTCGGCGCGGGCCTCATCGGCGCGGGCTACGGCGCCCAGTGGCTGCTCATGAAGCGCGGCGCGGCGCTCGGACCCGCGCTCGCCGCGCCGCTGCTCTGCGTCTGCTGCTTCGTCTGGGGCCACGGCTCGGGCTACCTGGACGTGGCGGCCATCGGCACGGGCGTCGCGGCGTTTCCCCGGCAGCGCGGCGCCGTCGTGGGCCTCCTGAAGAGTTTGTACGGCCTCGCGTCATCGCTGATCGTTTTGTTCGCGGCGTACTGGTCGAGCGAGGAGACGTTCGTGGGCATCCTGGCCCTGATCGCGCTGGGCCTGCCCCTCGTCGCGACGTTGGGACTCGACGTCGGCGGGCCGAACGAGGCCGCGGAGGACGGCGGCGAGGACGACGCGAGCGCGTCCAAAGCTTTGGACGCCGCGAGCCTGCGCATCGTCGGCCTCGCGGCGGCCGCGCTGACGCTCGCCGTGCTGCGCATCGTGGCGCCGACCCTATTTTCGTCCCTCGGCGCGAACGTCGCCGTCTCCGTGGTCGTCGCGCTGGGTCTGGCGTACCAGACGCGCGTCGCGGCCGGCCCCGCGAAGGCGCCCGCGTTCGCGCCCCTCGAGAGCCGGAACCCCCTCGCGGACGAGGAACCCGGCGACGAGGAGCGCGCGCCGTCCCTGAACCGCGGCGCGAAGCGGACGTCCCTCGCGGGCACGCTCGAGTCGCCGCCGCGGGCCACGGCGGTCCGGCCCGAGCTCTGGCTGTTCCTGGCCGCGATCCTGCCGGGCGCGGGCATGGGCCTCATGACCATCAACAACCTCGGCCAGATCGTCTCGGCCCGCGGCGGCAACCTGGCCATGCAGGAGGCCTGCACGACGCTCGTGTCGATCGCGAATTGCCTCGGGCGCCTCGCGTGCGGGAGAGTCGCGGACTCCTTGGTGGCGCGCGGCACGCCGCGGCCCGCGCTCATGGTCGCGGCGGACCTCGCGGGCTGCCTGAGCATGCTCTTCCTCTACGCGTCGGGCGAGTCCGTCGGCGCGGCGCTCGCGGGCGCGGCCTGCGCGGGCTTCGCCTACGGCATGATCTGGACGCTCATCCCGACGCTCGCGAGCGACTTGTTCGGCCGCGAGTCCTTCGGCTCCAACTACATGCTCTGCCTCCCGGCGGTCATCGCCGGGTCCATCCTCTTCTCCACGCTCCTGGCGCCCGCGGTCTACGCGGCGAACGCGTCGACCGACGACGGCGACGACGCGGTCGGCTGCGTCGGCGCGGGTTGCTTCGGCGACACGTTCCTCGCGACGGCCGCGGCCTGCCTCGTCGGCGCGTCGGCGGCGGCGGGTCTTTTGGTGAAGTCCCGGCGCCTCTACGAGCTCCAGTGAGCCCTCGTAATGCGAATTTTTTAGTAGTTCCGCGAGTGCTGGACCGCGGTCTTGTGCTTGTTGACGTAGTGCGTGACGATGGCCTGCTGGTGGGCCGCGTGGGGGCTCTGCTTCTTCCGCAGGGCCGGGTCGTCGTCCTCCATGCCCGGGAGGCGGTAGACGCGGCCGCGCTGGCGCGCGACGAGGAGGCGGCCCTCGCAGCGCGCGACGCGCTGCTCGCACTTCGTCGTGAGCGCCTTGAACTTCTGGCCCATGACGCGCTCGGCGATGCGCATGCGCTCGAGCGCCGTCTCGCGCGCGGCGCCCTGCTTGCTCTCCAACGCCTCGCGCGCGTTCGTGTGCTGCGCGAGCATGGCCTCGACGACGCGCGCGTTGTGCCGGACCTCGTTGTCGCGCTTCGGCGGCAGGCCCGCGGCGGTCTCGACGCCCGGCGTCTCGACGACGCAGAGCGCGTTGCGGTTGTGGCGGCAGATGTAGGGGTTCTTGCAGGCGCAGCGCACGAACTTTTGCTTCGAGATCGCGCCCGCGGCCGTGCCGTCGTTCCGCGTGAAGTTCTCCGCGACCTTGTCGATGAAGGTCTGGGCCTCGTCGAGGTGGCGCTGCTGCATGTCGTCCCGCTCGCGCTCGTGCTTGCGCGTCATGTTGTTGACCTCCCAGTCCTGCTTCTTCTTCAACGCGAGCTTCGCCCGCGCGCTCCTCGTACGCACGTGCTCGAGCTCGCGCGTCAACCGGCCGTGCTCGACCATGTCCGGGTGGAGCTCCTTGACCTCGTGGCGGTGGCTGTCGAGCAACGTGCTCAAATCCTGGGCGCTGAGGAGGTCGTCCTCGTACTGCTGGATGAGCGCCTTGTCGCCCTCGGCCTTGACGTCCGCCATCGCCGTAAATAAAAGCTTGCGCTGCTTCTCGTAGCCGTAGGAGCACCACTTGCGGCGGCTGTCGCGGTCCGCGAGGCCCGCGTCCATGAGGCGCGGCGACTTGGCGCCCGTGGCCGTGACGCGGTGCGAGTTCGCGAGCGACGTCGTCAGCGCGTTCGGCAGCGCGAGAAGCCCCGCGTTGCCGCCGAAGCGCGCCTGGAGCGGCGCCGCGCTGTTGTCGGCCTCCTTGAGGTGGCGGTCGAGCTTGCGGTTCGAGACCTTGGCCCAGGAGAGCTCGACGTCGCCCGCGGCGTGGCGCCGCTCCGCGCGCGCCGCTTCCAACCGCCGGTCCGCCGCGTGCCGCGACGGCGGCGCCGCGAGCAGCCCGCAGAGCGTGCTCGCCACGTGCAGATCATCTCTCAAAGTCTCCGGGTCCAGCCCGCAGAGAAGCACGGCGCTCAGGTCGGGGACCGCGGCCGCGGGCTGGCAGAGGCAGAGGCCCGGCGCGCACGCCTCCTCCGCGGACGCGTCCGCGCCGTCCGTCGTCGCCCGCGGCAGGAGCACGCGCTTGCCCGGCCGGCCCTCCCGCAGGCACGCGTGGAGCGCCGTCGGCACGAAGTCCGCGACGTCGCGCCGCTCCCGGTCCGCGAGATCCCGGAACCGACCGTTCGCGAAGCGGACTTTCAGCTCGCGGTCCACGAGGAGCACGGCCAGGGGCGCGTCGTCGAGGGCCACGTCCAGCAGCCCGAGCTCCGACGGCCGGTTGCCCAGGAGCAGGCTCGCCGTGTCCTCGAGCGTCGGCGTCCGGAAGAGCACGTCCGGGTGGGAACCGACGGCCGCGTCCTCGCCCAGGAACGACGGCAGCAGCGCCTTCGCCAGGTAGGGGTAGAGCGCCCTCCGCCGCTCCGCGACGAGGTCCAGGTTCATGCGAGCCATGGACCCCATGGGGATCTCCAGCGAGCTGAAGTAGTAGAGCGCGTTCCCGTGCATGCGCAGGAGCAGCTCCCGGAGCTTGTCGATCTTGTCCTGGCGCTCCTTGCACGCGAGGGCCGCGTCGACGTCGAGCACGAAGCGCAGCAGGCCCCGGGCGACGATCGTGCAGTCCTCGGCGGCCTCGGCCCACTTCAGTAAAGCCCGGCGCGGCTTCGCGCCGTCGAGCACCGCGTCGAGCGTCGCGACCCAGCGCGCGCCGCCCTTGGCGCGGTCGTCGCGCGCGCGGAAGCCCTCGACGGTGAGCCAGCAGGCGAGGGCCAGGGGCGCCCGCTCGAGCGCGTCGGCCGCGCCGACGTTGACCCACGCGGCGTCTGCCGCGCTCGTCGACCGCGGCAGCCGCCGGAGCGTCGCGTCGACGGCGAGGAGCGCCTTGCCGAGCTTGTCCGCGTCGTTCGTGACGCGCACCTGGAAGCCCAGCGTGTACGCCGGCTCGCCGAGCGCGTCCCGCAGCGTCACGAGGACGACCATGCACTTGAAGCGGTCGCCGCTCCGGTCGTAGCAGTAGAGCGTCGTGAGGCTGTCCCTGTGGACGCGGAGGGACGCGGACAGCTCTTCCACCAGGAACGGCTGGGACCGGTCGCGGGCCGACCGGCCCCGGTTGAGGAAGCGGCAGTTCCGGCCCACCGCGTCCGCGAAACTGTAGAGCGTGAGCTTCGTGAAGCCCGCGGACCTGTGTGGAATTCAAATCTTCAACCCGACTTCAATGTGCGCGTATGCGACAGTTTTGACGCAATCTCTTCGGCTGTGCTTCGAGAACTCGACGAGAGCAATCGATTCGTCCAAAAATCAGCCGAATCGACTTCGATTCGACCGAGCTAGAGAATTCTGAAGGTTGGTCAGGACCACCCAAACCAGTGGTTGGTTTCCACACAGCCGCGGACACGTAGGCCAGGGGCAGCCCCGGCGCGCGCAGGTCGCTGCAGCACACCCCGATGTCGTCGCCGACCTCGTGGGCGACGGCGGGCACCATGTCGAGCCACGTGCCCGACCGCTTGACCGCGAACGCCGCGGCCGTCGGCGCGGCCGTCGTCGGGCCCGCGCCCGCGTCCGCGGCCGCGACGTCCGCGTCGCAGAGCTCCTGGATGATCTCGAGGCCGACCTTGGACGCGAGGAGCGGCGCGAGCACGAGGTCGACCAAACACTCCTGGACGCAGGCCTTCGTCGCGCGGATCGACTTCTCGACGAAGGCCCGGCGGCCCGACTCGAGGAGGAGCTTCGCGACGTGGTCGCGGCACGACTCCGCCAGGGTCCGCCCCGCGGCCCACAGGGGCTGCTCGGGCGCCGCGTAGCTCGGCCGCGGCCCCCGGCCGGACGACCCGACGGAGAGCGCGCGGCTCATGGGCGCCTGTGTGGAATTCAACCACTGGTTTGGGTGGTCCTGACCAAACTTCAGAATTCTCTAGCTCGGTCAAATCGAAGTCGATTCGGCTGATTTTTGGACGAATCGATTGCTCTCGTCGACTTCTCGAAGCGCAGCCGAAGAGATTGCGTCGAAACTGTCGCATATGCGCACATTGAAGTCGGGTTGAAGATTTGAATTCCACACAGATGGGCGCGGGCGGAGAGTAGGACCCCGCGGCGGCCGCCGTCCGCGAGTGGCGCGCGGACCGCGTGCCCCCCGGCGCCGGGCCCGCGGGCGCCCGCGGCGAAAAGAGGTCCGCGGCCCACTCGACGGCGTCGTCGACGCACGCGACGTCGCCGCTCGACTTCTTGCGGATCCGCGACGGCCGCTTCTCGCGAGCCAACGCGACGGCGAGCTGCTGCTCCGTCGCGCGCGCGTCCCAGAAGTCGCGCCGCACCTCGTCGCAGAAAAGCGCAAAACAGGCGAGGTCGTCGTCGCCGAGCGACGACGCGTGGACCGGCGGCTCCGGGTCGTCGCGGTGGCCGCTGTGGCCGTCGCGGTGGTCCAGGAGCTTGCTCTTCGGCGTCGCCGTCGCCAGCAGGCGCAGCGCCCCGTCCGCGGCGAAGAGCACGTTCCGCAGCAGCGCCGCGAGCCCCGCGCAGCTGCCGTCGATGTAGTCGCGCACGTGGTCGCCGACCGTGCCCGGCGCCCGCAGGATCGCGTCGAGGCACGCCGCGGGATGCGCGAGCCACACGGCCCGCGTGTACAAATAGTTGACGCGCTTCGCGAAGTGGGTCGGGTGGCCGTCGTGGCCCTCGCGGCCCTGGGCGCGCTCGAGAGACTGGCGGCGCTTCTCCAGAAAGGCCGCGGACGACGTCTCGGGCGCGCGGAGGCCGTAGTTCCGCGCCCACTCCGCGCTCTTGTAGCGCACCTTGACGGGCAGGGACTGGAGCAGGCGCCCGAGGCTCGCGAGCTCGCGCCTTTGGGCCATGGCCGACGCCTCGCGGCCCGCGCGGAGCTCGAACTGGACCGCGATGACGAAGCGGTAGCAGCCGTCGCCGTCGTAGACGGGCGTCATCGTCAGAAGATTTCGAAAGGGCTCCTGGTTCTTCCGGTAGTTCTTGATGACGACGTGGGCACCCTTGCGCGCCGCCAGGGACTCCCGCAGAATCTCCACGGCGTCCGTCTCCGTCTCCGGGCCCTGCAAGAATCGACAGTTCCGCCCGACGCACTCGTCGAACGCGTAGCCCGTCATGCGGCAGAACTCGCCGTTCACATAAACCATGGGCGCGCCGGGCGCCGCCATGTCGCTGACGGCGACGCAGAGCTGCAGCGTCTCCGCCATGGAGACGAGCACGCCGAGCCACGCCTCCATGTTCGCCGGGAGCCGCCGCCGGAGCCGGCCGAGCGTCGACAGCAGCGCCGCGGCGACGTCGCCGCCCGGGTCCTGCGGTTCCAGCGCCTCCGCCGCTTCCTGCCAATCATCATACAACTCGCTGTGGAGGAAGCGGGGCAACGCGGTGATCGCCAAGCCCTGGACCAGCGAGTCGCACTCCTCGACGCACCACTCGAGCTTGGACCAGCTCCGCACGCCGACGTCGAGCTGCAGGCCATCAATATAATCCTTCCAGAGCTCGCGCGCCGCCAGGTTGCGCTTCTCGCTCACCTTGCGGTGGCAGATGCCGTAGGCCGCCTTCCGGCTGAACTCGGTCCAACTCGCGTTCGCGCGCTCGAGCACGCGGTTCATGTTCTTGTCGCGCTGCATGAGCCGCACGTTCTTGATGAAGTCGACGTGGCGCTTCTCGTCGCTGTGGAGGCTCCGGAAGAAGGGCTCGGCCAGCGACGGCACGGCGAAGATGAGCATGTGCACGGCCGTGACGGCGTCGCCGCAGAACTTCGTGTCCACGTGCGTCGGCAGGGCGCGCGCCGCCGCCTCGAGCGACGCCGGGCCCGCCCGGTCGTGGATCGCATGCCGCACGCGGTCCACGTCGCGCTGCATGGTCGCCGCGTCTAGCGCGCGCCGACGATCATCGAGGAAGCACCATGCTTGGGAGAGCGCAATGGATGAAACCGTGGTCGGCAAGCTGGGCTGCCTGAGATTCAGCTGTGCTTCAACGTTTCTCAAAAAGTGGATGTTTTCCCCAAAAGCGAGGCGATAGAGCGTCTCCGGCACCTGTCTTCAGCACCCATCGCCGCGTCCATCGACATCCCCGACCGCGCTCGACCGCCGCCGCGGCCCTGATGCGCCCATGGGCGTCTACGAGGACGTCGCCATCGCGGACATGAAGTTCGACGGCGAGCTCTACACCTACCTCTGCCCCTGCGGCGATTTGTTCGAGATCTCCCTCGAGGAGCTCCACGACGGCGAGGACATCGCCCACTGCCCCTCGTGCACGCTGAAGGTGCGCGTGCTCTTCGACGCCAAGGATCTGCCGGCGCTGCCCGAGGAGGCGCTCCCGCAGTAGAGAATGACGATCACGGAGTCGATGCGCCGCGCGCGGCAGCGCAAGCTCGCGCCGCAGAAGCAGCGGCGCCGCGGCCGCACGCTGGTCCTCGCGCTCGCGGTCCTCGCGCTCATCGCCGTGACGCCCATCTACCTCGCGACGCACCAGATCGCGCCGTCGCCGCCGGCCGCCGAACCGCGGCCGGCCGCGCCGGAGCCCGAGCGGCCGCGCCTCCGCGCCGCCGCGCGGCCCGTCGTCGTCGGCCTGCCCCCCAAGCCGCCGCCGCCGCCGCCGCCGCCGCCGCCGAAGAAGAAGAAGATCTGCTACGCGGTCACGGTGACCGAGGAGCCCAAGCCCGGAGCGACGGGCTTCATCGACGGCGCCGCGGTCCTCAAGGAGAGCCTCTTCGAGGCCTCGGCCCGCTCGAAGTACGGCCTCCCGGCGCTCGTCGCCTTCGTGTCGCCGCGCGTCTCCGCGGGCACGCGCGCGGCGCTCGCGTCCATCGGCTTCGAGAGCCGGGAGCAGCCGCTTCCCATCGACCCGGCGCGCATCGAGGGCGACTTCCTGCGGGACCTCTGGAGCAAGGACTCGACGAAGGGCGGCTGCTGCGGCGCCTGGGAGCTGCTGAAACTGTACGCGTGGACGCTCACGGAGTTCCACCGCGTCGTCCACGTCGACATGGATTGTCTACTACTGCAGCCCATCGACGAGCTCTTCGACCTCGACGTGTCCCTGGTCTACACGGCGGACTACAACATGATGAACGACAACCAGCGGCGCAACCGCATGACGCCCGCGGTCCAGGGCGGGTTTTTGGTCGTGCGGCCGTCGGCGGCCGTCTTCGACGCGATCGTCGCGGTCTCCCAGGCGGGCCGCTGGGGCGGCAAGCTCGGCAGCGGCTGGGAGGGCACGGGCGTGGGCCACTGGTGGGGCGGCAACACGATCCAGGGCGTGCTGCCCTACTTCTTCAAGATCCACGCGCCGAAGCACCTCGACGCGGCCGCGTTCGCCGCGGGCGACCTCGAGGCGACGGAGGTCGACCGCTGCATCTACGACAACATGGTCGACAAGGCCGTCGTCAACCCGGACCCGCCCGTCGGCCAGTCGGCCTGCCGCGATGTCGCCGTCGACGACATCAAGTTCATGCACTTTACGGTCTGCCAGAAGCCCTGGAGCTGCCACCCGAACCGCGACGACGCGAACGGCCTCTGCCCCGCGCTCCACCGGATCTGGTTCGAGAAGCGCCGGGCCTACGAGGCGGCCCACGGCATGCCCTCCAACGACAAGCCCTGCCAGCGCAAGTACGACCCGATGGCCTTCGCATTCTAACCACGTCGCTTTTTTTTCGGCTCTTATCGCGCGCGCGCTTTCGCGTCCCGGCCGACCGTCGCGACGGCGCCGGGCCCCTTTCGCGCGCGGCGAGGAGCCCTCTCATCGTCACGGGGGTCGCGGCGAGAGCGGCGTGGCGCGTGGCCTCGGCGGCACGACGCTCGCGACGGGCGCCGCGCACGGCCAGGAGGCGTCGCGCTCCGCCTTCACGGCCTCTTCGCGTTCCAGGGCGCGCTGGCCCTCCGCTTGGAGCGCGCGCCTCCTTTCACCGACCGAAGGTCTTGCCTCCTTGGTTTCGAGCCGCGGCGTCTTCGGCTTGGCGACGCTCGGCGGCACGACGCTTGCGACGGGCGCCGCGCACGGCCAGGCGCCTTCGCGTTCCGCCTTCTCGGCCGCCTCCTTCTCCAGGGCGCGCTGGCCCTCCGCTTGGAGCGCGCGCCTCCTTTCACCGACCGAGGGGCGCGCCTCCTGCTCGTTCTCGAGCCGCTGCGTCTTCGGCTCGTCGCGAACCGGCTTCTGGAGCCTCGCGAAGGACTCGGCCGCGGCCCGCGCGTCGGCTTCGGCCCGCGTCGCCTGCTGCGGCGTCTTCGGCTTGGCGACGCTCGGCGGCACGACGCTCGCGACCGGCGCCGCGCATGGCCAGGATGCTACGCGCTCCGCCTTCTTGGCCGCCTCGCTTTCCAGGGCGCGCTGGCCCTCCGCTTGAAGCTCGCGTCTCCTTTCAGCGACCGAGGGGCGCGCCTCCCGCTCGGTCTCGAGCTGCGGCGTCTTCGGCTTGGCGACGCTCGGCGGCACGACGCTCGCGACGGGCGCCGCGCATGGCCAGGAGGCTACGCGCTCCGCCTTCTTGGCCGCCTCGCTTTCCAGGGCGCGCTGGCCCTCCGCTTGGAGCGCGCGCCTCCTTTCCGCGCCCGAAGGTCTCGCCTCCCGCTCGGTCTCGAGCTGCGGCGCTTCCGCCTCGGCGACGCGCGGCCGGTCCTTGAGCTGCAGCGTCTTCGGCTCGTCGACACGCGGCCGCTTGACGCTCGCAACAGGCGCCGCGCATGGCCAGGCGGCTTCGCGTTCCGCCTTCACGGCCTCTTCGCGTTCCAGGGCGCGCTGGCCCTCCGCTTGGAGCGCCCGCCTCCTTTCAGCGACCGAGGGGCGTGCCTCTTGCTCGGTCTTGAGCTTTGGCGTCTTTGGCTCGTCGACGCGCGGCCCGGTCTCGAGCTGCGGCGCTTCCGCCTCGGCGACGCGCGGCCGCTCGACGCTCTCGACGGGCGCCGCGCACGGCCAGGCGGCTTCGCGCTCCGCCTTCTTGACCGCCTCGCTTTCCAGGGCGCGCTGGGCGTCTGCTTGGAGCGCGCGCCTCCTTTCAGCGACCGAGGGGCGTGCCTCCCGCTCGGTCTTGAGCTTTGGCGTCTTTGGCTCGTCGACGCGCGGCCCGGTCTCGAGCTGCGGCGCTTCCGCCTCGGCGACGCGCGGCCGCTCGACGCTCTCGACGGGCGCCGCGCACGGCCAGGCGGCTTCGCGCTCCGCCTTCTTGACCGCCTCGCTTTCCAGGGCGCGCTGGGCGTCTGCTTGGAGCGCGCGCCTCCTTTCAGCGACCGAGGGGCGCGCCTCCTGCTCGGTCTCGAGCCGCGGCGCTTCCGCCTCGGCGACGCGCGGCCGCTCGACGCTCGCGACGGACGCCGCGGCCTCCTCGGCCGCCATGACCGCGAGCTCCTCGCGCCGCTGTTCGGCCTCGTGCGCCCGCGACGCGGCGGAGGCCGCGAGCTTCCTGGCCGAGCTCGCGAGGGACGCCGCGGTCGCGGCGGCTTCGCGCTCCGCCTGCTTGGCCTTCGCGCTTTCAAGGACGCGCCGGGCCTCCGCTTGGAGCGCGCGCCTCCTTTCCGCGACCGAAGGCCTCGCCTCCGGCTCGGTCTCGAGCGGCGGCGCTTCCGCCTCGGCGACGCGCGGCCGCTCGACGGACGCCGCGGCCGCGGCTTTTTCGGCCGCCACGGCCAGCTCCACCATCCGCTGATGGGCCTCGTGCGCCCGCGACGCGGCCGAGCGCTCGGGCCCGCCCCAGACCGCCATCTTCGCGGCGTTGCTCGCGAAGGACGCCGCGGTGCCGGCGGCCTCGCGCTCCGCCTGCTCGGCCGCCTCGCTTTCGAGGACGCGCCGGCCCTCCGCTCGGACCGAGAGCCGCCTCTCCTTGGCAGCGCGCAGCTGCGCCGCTTCCGCCTCGGCGACGCGCAGCTGCGCCGCTTCCGCCTCGGCGACGCGCAGCCGCTCGAGGCTCGCGACGGACGCCGCGGCCTCCTCGGCCGCCTCGGCTTCGAGGCGCTCGGCTTCGAGGAGCTCGGCCTCGAGGAGCTCGGCCTCGAGGCGCTCGGCTTCGAGGAGCTCGGCCTCGAGGCGCTCGGCTTTCGCGGCCGCGTCGATGGCGAGCTCGAGCGCCGTGTCCTCGCTCGCGTTCGTCGCGTAGGAGCGGAGCTCCGCGTCGGACTTCTTGGCGCCTTCGAAGGTCGAGAGCGCGAGGCGGCCGACGGACCGCGCGAGCTGCCCCACGGAGCTCTCCTCGTCGAGGGCGCTGGCGACGGCCGCGGCGCCCGCGGCGACGGTCGCGAGCTCGACGTCGATGCCGAGGCCGACGGCGCCCACGGCGAGCGCGGCGGCGCCCGCGAGCGCGCTGGGGTCGAGCGCGCTCTGGCGCTTGCCCTTGCCCTTCTTGCGCGCGACGAGGGGCGCGGCGTCCTTGTAGGCTTGCTGCGCGTCGGCGTTGAGCGCCTTCCACTTCTCGCCGAGCTTGGCCATGACACGCTGGTTCAGCTCCTTCTTGTCGAGGCCCGCGTTCGCCGGGTCCGCCTCGACCTCGGCGCGCGTCGCCGCGCGCGACTCGTTGGAGAAGTGGAGGTAGCCGCTCAGCCGGACCATGTCGGGCTCGACCTCGCCCTCGAGCGCCGTCGCGGCCGGCGGCGCTTCCGCGGCCGGCGGCGCTTCCGCGGCCGGCGGCGCTTCGGCCTCGGGCGCCGGCGCCGGCGGCGCGGGCGGTGCCGTCGCCTCGGCGGGCTCGGCCGCGACGGACGCCGAGCGGAGCGGGGCCGCGGGCGACGCGGCCGAGGCGTCCGCCTCCGGCGGCGGCGACGGCGCCGCGTCGGGCGTCCTCGGCCCGTCGAGGAACGGCTTCCGGAAAGTCGCGTCGACCTCGCCCCACACCGCGAACTTCGCCGCGTTGCTCGCGATGGACGCCGCGGTGCCGGCGGCGTCGCGCTCCGCCTGCTCGGCCGCCTTGATGTCCGCGACGCGCTGGGCCTCCGCCTGGAGCGCGCGCCTCCGTTCCGCGACCGCGAGGCCCGCGTCCTCCTCCGTCTTGAGCCTCCGCGTCTTCGGCTCGTCGCGGACCGGCTTCTTGAGCTTCGCGTCGGCCTCGGCCGCGGCCCGCGCGTCGGCTTCGGCCCGCGCCGCCGTCGCCGCGACCTGCTGCTTCGCCCAGGCGGCCGCTTCCTCCGCCTGCTCGGCCGCCTTGATGTCCGCGACGCGCTGGGCCTCCTCGCGGAGCGAGAGCCTCTTTTCCGCGACCGGGAGGCTCGCCTCGTCCTCCGTCTTGAGCTTCAGCGGCCTCGGCTCGTGGGGAACCGGCTTCTTGAGCCTCGCGAAGGAGTCGGCCACGGCCCGCGCGTCGGCTTCGGCCCGCATCGCCGCGGCCGCGGCCTGTTGCTTCGCCCAGG